TCTACTTCTGTGTAGTGACCAGCAGGGGGCGACTCCTCTGCTGCCATAGACGTCTATGAGGAAATGACTCTACTTCTCTGTAGTGACCAGCAGGGGGCGACTCCTCTGCTCCCATAGACGTCTATGAGGAAATGACTCTACTTCTCTGTAGTGACCAGCAGGGGGCGACTCCTCTGCTGCCATAGACGTCTATGAGGAAATGACTCTACTTCTCTGTAGTGACCAGCAGGGGGCGACTCCTCTGCTCCCATAGACGTCTATGAGGAAATGACTCTACTTCTCTGTGGTGACCAGCAGGGGGCGACTCCTCTGCTCCCATAGACGTCTATGAGGAAATGACTACTTCTCTGTAGTGACCAGCAGGGGGCGACTCCTCTGCTCCCATAGACGTCTATGAGGAAATGACTCTACTTCTCTGTAGTGACCAGCAGGGGGCGACTCCTCTGCTGCCATAGACGTCTATGAGGAAATGACTCTACTTCTCTGTAGTGACCAGCAGGGGGCGACTCCTCTGCTCCCATAGACGTCTATGAGGAAATGACTCTACTTCTCTGTGGTGACCAGCAGGGGGCGACTCCTCTGCTCCCATAGACGTCTATGAGGAAATTACTCTACTTCTCTGTAGTGACCAGCAGGGGGCGACTCCTCTGCTCCCATAGACGTCTATGAGGAAATGACTCTACTTCTCTGTAGTGACCAGCAGGGGGCGACTCCTCTGCTCCCATAGACGTCTATGAGGAAATGACTCTACTTCTCTGTAGTGACCAGCAGGGGGCGACTCCTCTGCTCCCATAGACGTCTATGAGGAAATGACTCCTTGACAAAAACATTGTAAACACGAGTTTATGGTCTCAGTCTCTAGTTTCAAGCCTTCTTTAATACAGATGATGTTCATGAAAATCAATTTTCATGAAATTATGATCCCATAAGAGTCAAACAGACCATAAAATAGGGGACGCTTTAGGGCGGGACTACTGTGATTGACAGGTATTTAACAGACATCGGACCCCTCTTCAATATTAAGCACAACTGGTCATTATTTTGTGTTAATACCTTTCTCCAAGATTCTCTAAAAGATCAGTCGAAGAGTCTGAGGGTCTAATTTTACATTTGTGGAAAAGTCAACACAGACCAGAGCCCCCCCCCCCCCCCTCGCCCCCCTCCCCCCAATTCTCCTTTTACTTCTAAAAACAGAAGAAAAAAGGTTTGAATGGGAAGAGAAAAAAATATCACAGGAGGGCAATTAAGTGGGCTGTTTCTGGAAGAGTGCCCCCCACCCCCCAGTAGGGATGAAGGGAACAGGGAGGGTCTGTTTGGCAGCTGGCTGGAGGAGGAGGGGGGGGGACGGGCTGCGTAGATGACGAAGTGAACAAAACCGTCGAGTAAAGTGAGTAGAAGACGACGACGGTCACAGACGCCATGTGGGAGGAGCTAGGCGGGGCGGAGAGCGGGAGGTCATCCGACGACCTCCGAGTGACCATAAAAGTCACTTCTCACCGGCCGGAGAGCGATGCTTCTCACGACGACCTTCTCTTCTCTTCCGTCAGTGTGACGAAGGTGTCGCACCGACCGTTCGTTTGAGATACTGAAGGGGGGGGGCAGTGACCTTTGACCTGGGAAATGTGTCCTCCAGATTCCGACCGGCTCATAATCAAGACTACGCGCCGCTCTTTGTCCACAACCAAAACACGGAGAAGCAGAAGGTCTGTTGACTCACTTCTTTTAACGGGCCGCATCCCTTCAGCCGCTTATACTTTCTACGCTTTGATAGAGTTTAAACGACCTTTGGCTTTGAGTCCCTGAGAAGCGTGCAAATCACACATCTACATGTTGACCAAGTCCTCCTGATACAAGTTCTCCGCTGAGTGACCTTCAGAAGGACGTCAGCCGGAGCCGGCGAGGCGCAGCGGCTCTCATCACACTTCGTCACACCGATTCCGCCGCCGCTCCCCAGAGACCCGTGATCAACCGACCCCCCCTCCCCCTCCCCCGTTTCTGTGAACACTTGAGCGGAAAGAGATCAAGAGATGAAAGACGCACAAAAAAAAACAGAAGAAGAAAAAGGCAAAGAACTCGTTAGTGGCACAAAAAAAAAAAAAAAAAAAAAGCCCAAAGCGCGAGCGGACCTGATAGAGCAGAGTGATACAACGGGGGTCTTAACCGAGGGGCAACAAGGGGATTAGAAAAGCAGGCGCGAGAAAAGAGGACGGGTGGAGGAAAGGTGGAGGAGTCGGGAGAACAAATTAAAAGAAAATAAATTTAAAAAAAATGTAAGATGGGAACCTGAAGAGAGGAAATGGAGAAAGAATCAGAAAGCAATGGAGACGGTGCAGGAGATCCGGGGGGGGGGCAGAGATGGAGAAAGTGATTGGAAGAGAGAGAGAGAGAGAGAGAGAGAGGGGGGGGGGGGGGGGGCAATTTTCTGGAGTAGTAGAAGAAGAATCGGCGGATGACTTGCTTTTTTTTTTTTTTCCAGGTGGTCAACAGATCGAGAACCACCCAAAAAAGCTCCTCAGGGCTCCTCGGCAAGAACCTCGAGGCTCTACAACACTTCTAAGTAAAGTAAGTAAGTAAAGTAAGTAGAGTACAAGTAAAAGAACAGACTCCGGGCTGATGTTGGGTGGGGGGGGGGGGGGGGGGGACAATGGCCCAGTGTCGCCCCTCAGCGAGGCCTCCAAACAAGGCACAATGCCTGCACTTGTCAGCAGAACTTCTCCTGCACTTCCATCGGCTTCCTCTTGTTTTTTTCCCTCAACCGGCACAA